CTCTGTCTCTTTGTCTTATTTTCTCAGTCCTCCTTTCCCCCATTCAGGAACCTTTTGACTGGTGATGGCTGGTCCGTCACAGATGGCGTCCGAACAGGGGCCTGAATACCGGGGATACCAGAGTGAAGGACGCCGCGGGAATACGAGGGCGCTCGGTAAGTGACGGGCGGCGGTAATACTCGGGAGAGTATGGGGCAAGGCAGTAGCAGGGCGCTGTTCACTCAAACGCTTAAAAATAATGTTACAGGCCCGAGGTGCGCGCGTCGGGCATCAACATCTCTGAGCCTTTTTAGAGTTTGTTGAAAAGGTCTGCCCCTGGTTCCCCACGGAGGGAACTGTTAGTTTAGAATTATGGAACAAGGTAGGAAAGAAATTACAGGATTATCATGCCGGCCACGGGCCATCCAAAGTGCCCGTGGATACTTTTAGTCTATGGACCCTCATATGTGACAGTCTAGATCCACGGCATGAAAGCTTTAAGTTGCCGGAATATCCAAAAGAAAAGGATGAGGAAAATTGTCGTCCCCCGTCCACAAATCCCTTTTTTAATGAGGACCCTTCCGCCCCTCCAAACGTTGATCCTTCAGATGAGGAAGTTTTAGATGATCACTGGCCTCTTCCCCCTGTGGTTGCCTTGGCAGCACAGGAGGAAGCAGAAAAATCTTTACCTATAAAACAAAGTGATAAAGTTAAAAAACGGGACATAGAACTAGAAAATCTCAAAAAAGAAATAGAACAAATGAGATGAAAGTTTGAAGGGATGTTATCTAAAAAACTGCCCTCCGGCATCGTTTTTGAACCCTATCAACGTACCGAGAGCACACGCATGACTTGTCGCCTGCTGGAGCTGTTTCTGTCCCAGGAAGATAGGGAACCTAAAACTTTACAATGGAATAAAGAGCTCTCCCCATTGCAACAAATTCTGGCCGAAGGAGGTGATCGCGGGGAAGTAATCCCAGGCTTTCAACATGTCACCACTCGTAGGGCCTTTCCTGTGATGCAGAGATATGATAATCAGGATAATCTAATGGGGGCTGATTATTGCCCCCTTGCTTTTAAACAATTAAAGGAACTAAAAGGGGCCTGCTCTCAGTATGGCCCCAAAGCCCCTTTTACCCAATCTCTGATAGATACTCTCACTTCGTTTGATGTTTTCTTACCTGAGGATTGGAAACAACTTGCTGGAGCTTGCCTATCAGGGGAGACTATTTGTTATGGAAAACGGATTTTGGGGAACAATGCCAAAAAGCAGCTGAGATAAATGCCGCGAATGGGATCAATTTTACCTTTGACATGCTGGCCGGGGAAGGACAGTTTCGCACCATTTGAGCCCAAGCCGAACTCCGCTGAGAGGCACTTATTCAGTCAAATGCTGCGGCTAAATGTGCTTGGCGCAAAATCCCCCCTTCCGGCCAGCATGCAGAGGAGCTGTCTA